ATTCCTGCTCCAGAACAGTACTCTGTGATTAGCTCCAGATGTTTGGATAATGTGATAAAAATCACGCTGTGATTTAGAAACTTTGAGACATCAGTTGTCCTGTCTGTTCAATCTAAATATGGCTCAGCCACAAATAGTAGTACCAAAAAACCACCAGCAAGACTTCCTCAGGGCATGCCTGTTTCAGGTGAACCTCTCACTACTTCCTCTGACTCCTGTGACTGAGAGGGGGAACTTCTGCAATGTCCTCTGAGATCTAAGTCCACACATATGCAGCCCTCTTGAAAGACAGGTATGGGGTGCTATTTGTCTGCAATATGAAATTAGATTTGTGCAAAAGAAATTCTTCTGATTTCACTTAATTACTTTACCTGAAGCAATGGTGTGTGCAATTTTCCATCATCCTTTGCTTAATTAAGAATGCCCAAGATGTTTCTGTTAATCTATTTCTCTGTAAATCATCCTTAAAAATCCTAAGCCATATAGCTTTTGCAGCAAATAACTTTGCACATCAATATTTATGAGAATTTTTTTCTTTTCTATTTTTTTTTAACAAGTAAAAATGAAGCACTGCTCCTGCAAGTTGGTTCTGTGAGTTTACATTTTCTCTGTGAAAGCTGGATTGATGTCAGTGAGCGATTGAAGGGTTAAGTCCTACTGTCACAGAGGTCAGGCAGTTTAAAAATTTACTTTCCCTCCACTCAGATGCAGGATCTGTTTGGGCACGTGCTCTTTACTCTTTTCCTTGCAAAATTCACTTCAGTCACTTTCAGTTGCCATTTAAACCACTTACTTGTGAGGTCAACAGAGTCACAGAATATCTGAGGTTGGCAGGGATCCACAGGGGATGTCTAGTCCAATCCCATTCTCAAACAGGGTGACCTACAGCAGGTTGCACAACGCTGTGGCCTATGAAGTTTTGAATATCTCCACAGACAGAGACTCCACAGTCTTTCTGCAATCTCCAATATGTTTTTTTTCCTCTTACGTTTAAATGGGATTTCCTGTATTTCAGTTTGTACACGTTATCTCTTCTCCTGTCACTGGGCACCAATGAGAAGAGTCTGGCTCCCTCATCTTCACTGCCTTTCATCAGATATTTATGCATACTACTAAGACACACCCCACACACACACCCCAAACCTTCTCCAGGCTAAACAGTCCCAGCTTTCTTGGCTTCTTCTCGTATGAGAGATCCTGGATTCTCCTAATCATCATCATGGCCCTTTTCTGGCTCACTCCAGTAGCTCCATATCTCTCTTGTATCTGGGAGCTCAGAACTGGGCACATCACTCCAAATCTGGTCTCACGAGGGCTGAGTAGAAGGGAAGGATCACCTCCCTCAACTTGCTGGCAACACTCCTAATGCAACCCAGGAGGCAGTTGACCTTCTTTGCTGTAACGACACATTGCTGGCTCATGGTCAGCTGCTTGTCCACCAAGACCCCAAGGCCTTTGCTGCAAAACTGCTTTCCAGACAGCTGACGTGCTTCCCAGCTGCTTCACTGGGCAGTGTCTCCCACATGTTCCCCAAGAACTGTTTTTCAGAAGGCTGATGACAATTTAAACCAGTGAATCTCACATGCAAGTGTATCTGAGTGCACTTATAGTATTTGGCTTAACACCTGATTGTCCAGTTCTTTAGCCCATACAGATCAAGGGAATGACTATTAGTTTGGAATGCCTGCCATGCCACTTGTCTTCTAAACAAACCAACTCTGAGATGCTTTCCCTCATGGAAGTGTTTTATCTTTCTTGGGCAGGGCTGTTTATTACAGTCAGAAAGGTAGTACTGGAGCTTTATCCTGTGGCCTTGTCTAGATGTGTTGGAAATAATGTTGATTGAAGCTCCTTACTGATCAGTGAGGAGCATTTGGCATTCTCTGTCTTCTCTTTATGTCAAGGTAGATGTTATGGTTGGGATGTGAAAGAAGATAAAAAGACCCAGGCTTATCATATGAACAGATTCAGTGAGTGTCTCCTTCCCCTCTGTTTCTTTGGAAGCTTCAAAGGCAGGCTTGAGGAAAGAAGTTCTGCTCTTTCCTTCTGCTTGTGCCTGTAACTGCAGCATCTCAGTTGCATGCAAATGAATTCTCTGGAGCCTCCACTGCTGAACTGCTGAATACAGAAGCTGTTATCCAGGGAATGTTAACAACAAAGCCTAAAGTTTAGGATGAAGGGACAAATGAGACAGAAAAAAACCCTTTTCTATACCAAAAGTAAAACAAGAGATTGGAGTTAAAAAGCAGTGTAAAATTTTCCTTCTCATAATATATTTCCTTCCAATTAGTTAATAACAATGCAGCATTCCGCACATTTAGATGATGACTTTGAAATCAGAGGTGAATTAAGAGAGTCTATGAGGATCCCGAAACTACACTCTTGTTCTTGTAGGTGTCCTGTGTGCTGAATAGCTGCAAAATCAAATGCCTAAAGTATTCAAAATCTTGGTCTTGTCTAAGAGATAAAAGGAGTCTATGCAATTTCATTCCTCACATGATGAGCTGAGCTGACATTATAACTTAACGATAGCCTAGAAGTAGTGCTTAAAGGGGAAAAAATAATCTCTTTCTGCTGCTGAATTCTGCTTCATAAGGAACTAGTGTATTACACTGTCTGGGTAGCTATAAGTGGAGAGAAGCTAGAAAGAGATAAACTCGATAGATTATTGAACGCAAATCAGTTTGATCATCAGTGGAAATATTTGTTGAGGGGAATCCAGAAATTAAAGGTGTTACTGGCATTGGTCATGAATGATTAATGCATGGTAAAGCTGCTTACGGAGGTCCCTGCAATAGGGATGTGTGACCCAAGTAGTCTGCATTGCCATTCCACTTGCTATGAAATTCTAGTTTGCTTGCAATTTCAATTAACCTTCCTTGCATCCGAGGAAAGAAATCACCAGATGGTCTGAGTAAATTTGCCCTCAAAATGCAAGAGTTCCTGTATTACTCTGACCCTGCAGAGAAGGATGCAAAATGACAGTAGAGGAAGGCTGACAGTAGCTAGTGAATATTCCAGCTGGGGTTTGTTTGGGTTCCTGGGCATCTTCCTCTTTTTATCCACAGGTTTCTCAACAGGATTGAGGTGTCAAGAGGCTTGTGGTTAGCTAGCTGAATGGAGACAGTCATGATTACTCTTATTTTCCACTTGGCAAAAAAGTCTATAACAACCAGATCTTGTCAGGCTTAAACGGATCAGTTTCCCCATGCTTCTCTACGGGACATGTAAAGGGGCCATTTCTCCATCACATTTTGGGGGATTGGAGGGTTGCTTTTGATTCAGGGCTGCTTTCAGTGTAGGGTCTGGGAAAACATGTGACCTGGCAAAGTAATGTGGAGGGGAAAAGCCACAGGATCTGCTTGCCTCTCAACAAATTCCTTGGTGGTTTTTTAGAGGCAGTAGTTAATCCGATAACTGTCATCCTGGGGCAATTCAGGAGGAAGCATCCTGACAGGCTGCAGATGTTTCTCCCTGTAAGAACAGAGGTTCAGCCATTGCCATCCCAAGACCTGATGTGGAAAGCAAGAGCAAACACAGTCTTCCAGCACTGCTGAGGTACTGATGAGGTAATTTACAAGACAGTGATAAGGGCTTGTGAAAACCTCTTCTCTTCATTTAGCCTCTAATAATGCCAACAAACAATTATTTGGAAGGACTTTGCAGCCTAAGCCTTTGAAAAGGCCAGATGGCTTTGCCTTATGCAAGGCAAGAGACGTTAAATATGTATACATGTATGTATGTACGAGTGCGTGTTACAACAAGGCTGTCTCAGATTAACTCAGTTAAATCTCAGCCAGCAAGGGGCCAAACTGGAGCTGTTCTGACCCAGAAACCAAGGACAGTAACCAGCCACCTAGTGTTCTTCCCGGGTGAAGGTACCTTTTTTAGTAAGTGATGCAGGGTGTTTTTCTGCTCCAGGCAAAGTCCAACACAACTCCCAAAGAATATATGTCTTCACTTCCTCCATGTAACCAGGCTTGATCCTGCTGCAGCCTTCCAGTGCCCTGATGACGAAGTATCACAGTAAATGCCCTATCCCTTTCCCCAGCCCCTGCCTTCCTCCCCAGCTGGATGATTGCTAGTCATTTGCCAATAAAAGTGCCTCTGAAAGACAGGGTTCAAGGTCCTTTTGCAGGTGTGTGGGGACAGAGCGACATGTGAGAAGCCTCCCCATTTCAATGGCTGTGCAAGGGCTTTGCACAATAACAAAGATCCGGCTCAGGAGCACCCAGGGGCTGAATTTGAGACCAATGTGCATGCAGGGCTAGGAAGAGGACCAGGCAGAGCCAGGATCTCACCTACGTACTAAGCATTAGAGGCAGTGGTGTCCAAGGGTAGATAAGAGACATGCAGAGATGCTACTTCTTTCTGATCCATGGTAGGATCCTAGAAATCATCAAGTCCAAATGTTTGCTAATGCCATGTGCGTCTACCTGTCATGGGTTATGTAATTTCTGGCAACAATTAAGACTGTGATTACTCATCCCTGCAATTGAGATTTCAAATTCCTTTCCTAGCCCTGGTGTCATTTCTTTCTGGATGTATCACTTGCCTGTTATGTTAAAGACCCTCCAACATCAATCTTCAGTCACTTGACTGAGCTGATGGAGTGAAAACATAGTGTGGATGGCAGCTGCCCCCTTTAAGGCTGCAAACCAATTGCATTACCATCATGCAAGTCTACAGATGTAGTCTATTCCTCTCTCTGCCGTGCTTCTCTCACCAATGCCAGGTAAGCCACCTCATCAGGCTGGGTGTTTTGCCTACCTCCTGCCTCTGTGGGGAGTGTGCCTCTCCTCAGTAGCAGGAGAAATCTTTCCAGATGCAGAGGGAGTGGAAAGAGGTCCTGAGTGTGGGGAAAGAGAGAGCTGGTGTCATGGTGGTTTTCCCACATTCTTACAGAGCTGACTTTTTCTTGTGCTTTCTCTAGGGGCTACCAAAGACATGGGGAAGATGCTGGGTGGGGATGAGGAAAAAGACCCAGATGCTGCCAAGAAAGAAGAGGAACGACAGGAAGCCCTCAGGCAAGAGGAGGAAGAGAGGAAAGCCAAATACGCCAAGATGGAGGCTGAAAGAGAAGTTATGAGACAAGGAATTCGAGACAAGGTAGGGATCTGGCTTTCAGCATGCACTTGGCAACTCGTAATGCTCAGTAGAGAACTACTGTTTTCAGATGATTTGTGACCAGTTCCATGAGCACCTGGATAGAGCCAGGTAATTACTTTGCCACACTGAACTTTTTAATCTTGTGCACTGTCCCTCGAGCTCTATCCCTATTTAAACACACCTCCCACACTGAAAAGTCCTGCCAAGTTGAAATAGAGAGTGAAGATGAGGGGAGAAAAATGTCTGTTTTTCTCATCATTGCTTAAACATTCACATTATTTTAAATGTTAGAGGCTTCTCTGTCCCTGTGTGGGTGCTTTTCAAGCTTGCATTTGTGGTTTGTGAGAAGGGTCATAATTCACTGTGTTTCTGAGAGATTCAGTCCAAGTATATTCTGTATTGCTTCCAAGGCTTTCTTTGTGTTGACAGGCGAAATCTGACAAATCTATTTTACTTTTCATATGTAGGCTTCCACTACTCGCAGAGGATTCATCTGAAAGAAAGAGAGTTTCATTTATCTGAGGGACTTAGCCATTGGGAAGTACTGTCTTCTACTTAAGTTGCATGCAATTTGGCATGAGAAGGAAATGAATAATTGTGAGAATTCAGAATGATACTGAAAAGAAATGTACAAAACAAACCTTTATTAGAGAAATGAGCTTAATTTAAGGTAGCTGAACCCATTGTCACAGTACATTAGTTTTTAGGGATTGATGTATGGAGGAAGAAGGCAGTTTTGCTTCATCACCCTCAAGACCACGTCAAAATTGTCTCTTTAGAATAACTTTGTGTGGTGGGTTGACCCTGGCTGAGGG